AGACCTGTCTAGAAACTTTTCTCAAGGGTTGAAAACACAGCTCAGAGCAAGCACTCTGGGTTCATTCTCTTGTTAACAAACAAACATACAAACAAACCTTCTATGTCAGATACAATGGTCATTAAAATTTAGTACAGCTTTTAATGGTGTCCAGGTAATAACGTTCCCTTTGCTGCACCAGCAGAGCTGTTGAATGCCCACCCTGCAGGTACAGACGCGATGTTCCCTTCACCACGCTCTCCTGGTTGTTGGTGGGGAAAGCGCACTGCTGGTTGCTGCAGCCACCTAGACCCTAGAGTACATTCTCTAGTAATCCTTTCAAAGAGGGTACATGGCAAACAAATCTTCTGAATTCATCAATATCAAAAAATGTTCTTGTTTGGCCCTCAAAATCAAAGGCCAGTCTGGCTGCGTACCAGATTCGCGGGTGGAAGCCGTTCTCGTGCAGGACTCTCACGATGTCGCACCACTGGCTCCGGGCGTCCAGCGTGCTCAGCGAGAAGTGTGCCGTCAGCCGGATCTTCTGGCCCGCATAGGTGACCTCTCTCTCTCGTGAGGCCTTCAGGATCTTCTCTCTCTCACTGGGGACTCGCTGGGGTCAGTCTCGCTGGGGACTCGCTGAGTACTGACGACCTCAAGCCTTGAGCTCCTCCTCAGCTCTGAAAAGTTTTCTTCAATTTCTTTAATTATGTCCTCTGCCTCGTTTGCTTTGTTATCTTTTTCTGGGACTCCGATCACACGGACGTTGGAGCTTCTGAATTCGTCTTCCGGGATGTGAAGTTTCTCGTTATTCAGCAGCTGCTTGGACATCTGCGCTGCGTCCCTGGATGCCTCTTCCACTTGGCTGTCCAGACAGCTCACTCTTTCCTCCAGCTGAGCTACGCTGTGGTGCAGGTCGTCTACCGAATGCCTAACTTCCTCGACATCCAGGCAACATTTCCTTCTGCGCTGCATCTCCTCTTGTATCTCTCTGAAGATGCCCACCACGCTTCTTCTGAAGTTTTCTTCTGTTTCCTGGATTAAGGCTGCTTCTTCAGACGTCAGGTTTTTCATCTGAAGAGTCTTGTTTTTGTCTTTCTCTGTTTTCCCTAAAAACTTGGTGACCTCTAACGAAGCACTCGGATTTGCCTGTGAACATGTTTTGTGCTCACTGGAACTTTGCTCTAGTGATTTCGAGAGAGCACTGTGATGCGAAGTCGGATGGAGAAGCTCGATTCCTTGACCTCCAGAAGCAGCCGTTTCCTGCATCTCAGCCTTGTGCTCCCCCTGGGTCTGCACCGGCCCTTCCTTCTCCCGACTACAGGCAAGTCCCTCTCGCA